TTGAATGAAGAATAAATTGGTAAACAATTCTGGAGCGATTTCTAAAATGCAATTTTGACTGTATTTTGTATCATTAAATTATTACTTAGGATTTAAATAGTTACATTCAAAGAAGAATGAATCTTAGCAATCACAGAAATAATTTGCTTTAAACTAATATTTTGATTAATCAATTATAAAAATATTATTTGATTAACTAAAATCGGGTCATTTCGATTAGATAATCGATTAATCGGTGTATCACTACCTGCCAAGTTTTTATATTTTATTTATTTATTTATTTATTTTGAAAGTAGGAAATATTTTTTCTGTCCTCGGATTATATATTTCTTTGTTTTCATGATTACATACACAAACAATTCAAGGGTATCTAGAGCTAGGCACTTCAACCTTTTGGCTAATTGCCGAAATGCTTATCATATATGTGCCGAATTTTACAAATGCAAGGCATAGTCGAATAATTTAAACGTACTGCAAAGCTAAAGTTATCATTTTTTAACATCAATTTGTTAAATTGATACTCCTATCTCGTTCTAGTCAGCTAAATCGTTACTAAGCAGGCGCGTGCTCTGCACGATTTGCAATGCGCGCTCTCTTCAATCCCATTAGCAGTAAAACAGTTTAATGAGTGTATTCAAGAAGATTAAGCATGCCACTTCTCAGATTGACAGCATAACTTTGCAAGTAGGTTGAAGAATTCTAAGTCGGTCAGAGGTCATTGTGTCCCACAACAGAAATGTGCTAGTAGGAATTTTCTTTGTTACTGCACTATAACTGATAACTACTTAGCTTTTATACTAAAGAATCTGTTTTTAAAAAAAATATTTGAATGATTGTTAGTTCATTAAGAATGAGATGAGCAGTGATGAAAATCATGCCCTGCTTTGTCACCATGTCAATAGTGATTCCGACGACATGCTAGCTTAATTTGGTTTGGATTCTACAATGTTCATTTTGTTTCCGCTGTTCGAGCAGAATGTTGCAGACAGCTGCGGTACAATGACCAAGACCTGTTAAGAAGGTTTTATCTGGCTTCCCTGATTAAGTTATAAGGAGTGGCAAACGCGGAGTTGGTCATTCTCTGTAAATGGTCAATAATTGGACAGACCACGGGGAGGCTTTCTCCAGGCATTTCAAAATGATGACTATCCTTATCTGCCAAATAAGCTTAATTAAACAGTGATAGGGTACCGACAAATGGATGATACATGCAAACAAAGAAAAAAAGTTTTCGAAATCACGTCAGGGAATGTACTTGTACAGCTAAAGTAAATGGATTTCACATTTTAATTACAGACACGGAGGAAATCCTTTTTTTATATTAACTTACAGTTCCTTCTTGGTTGTTAGAGAAAGAAAGATCGGTATATTGTATAAATAAATAGAAGAAAGCATCTAAAAATTGATGTGAAAAAGATTTACCAGAACAATCTTAAAAGTATATATAGATGCAATATCTACAGATTGAACCGTAGTTAACTAGTGGAATTCTTTATCGTTAGACACCAGATTTTCGAGCTCACTGTCTACTTTTCAAAGTAAAATTACACAAAAAATAACAGTACATTTAAACAATATTTTATTATGAATAATCACAAAAGGATTGGACAGCAGGCACTGCCTATATAAGTCCTCTCTATAGTACAAGGTCAGCAGCAGTCACAGGCTGCCTATATAAGTCCTCTCCATAAAATAACAGTAGCTCCGCCTTATTTCATTTTTGGAAAAAGACGCTACAATATACTGCAAACTAGACTTCGACACTTTTGTGCCTAACCGTTGATCTTTATAGGTATAACATTGTATCTAGTCCATCATGCTCTTGTGGTAAGGTAGAAGACATGCATCGTTATTTTTCTCATGTACAAATTACACTGAGGCTAGGGAAGAGTTTTTCGATAAATTTTTGAGATTTAATAAAGTTCATATTGTTGACACTCATACTTTACTTAATGGGATACTTCACTCAGTAGTTAGTATTGCTGAAAATGAATATCATTTTTCTGTTGTACATTCTTATATTCAGCATTCTGGCAGATTCAATTGTTGTTCTTATATATAAAATGTGTATAGACAATAATTTAGCATTATATATTTCTATGTTGTGAGTGCAAACTGGGGGACACATTGTGAATTAAGTGTTTAGAATTTGTGCCCAATCCCATTGAATATATTAATTGCAATAAAATATGTTCAAACTAAACCTAAAAGTATAAGGGAATGAATATAGAAATTACTCCCTGTCAGTCCCGGAAAACCCTTTTTGTGTTTTTTGTAATAACTATTGGCGCCAAGGAGCAAACCGTAAACACTTGAAATGCATAAATGGGCAATAATTACAAGTCATAGAAACTTTTAAAATGCACAAGGTGTAATGTACATCTTTGCTCGTGATATAGTCATGTTGACCGGATGGTTAAAAATGGAGTCGCAGATGCTTAACGTTGGTTCAAGTGTAAGTTTTTTCCAGATAGCTTTTATGATAGATAGCAACTCGGAAAAATTCAGAATAAAATTATGAATTTGCCTTTTATGTTCTTCGATTTATTTCCGGTAAACGGTTGTTGCTTAAATTATGGGTAACTATTTTGTAGAAGTTCTTTCACCCTTTTATATCACTGAACTTTACAACCTTCTTATCATTCATGTTTCTTCTGGCCATTTATCGGTCAAATAAAGAGATTAAATGGCTACCGTGCCTGGCACAAGTTGACAATGAAGCCAGACTCCAATAACTTGTCAGGAGATGGTGAGGAGAATTTTTCAGTGCATGAATGACAATGTTTCAATGTATTTAGCAGTGAGCATGCTGTACAGAGGGCATAAACCATTCAACAACAAAAAAATGCTGCATCAAATGTATTGATTATTTTGGTTCACAATTCCTTCAAGCCGTTAGATTTTCAGTTGTTAGCAGCAATGTATTCCTACATTACAGTTGTAAGTTACAAGGTAGTCCTTCATTACTGTAGTAAGCTACAAAGTAGTCCTTCATTAAAGTAGTAAGCTACAAGGTAGTCCTTCATTACTGTAGTAAGCTACAATTAAGGTACTAGTAGTCCTTCATTACTGTAGTAAGCTACAATTAAGGTAGTCCTTCATTACTGTAGTAAGCTACAATTAAGGTAGTCCTTCATTACTGTAGTAAGCTACAAAGTAGTCCTTCATTACAGTAGTAAGCTACAAGGTAGTCCTTCATTACTGTAGTAAGCTACAAGGTAGTCCTTCATTACTGTAGTAAGCTACAATTAAGGTAGTCCTTCATTACTGTAGTAAGCTACAAGGTAGTCCTTCATTACAGTAGTAAGCTACAAGGTAGTCCTTCATTACAGTAGTAAGCTACACGGTAGTCCTACTTTACAGTAGTAAACTACAAGGTAGTCCTACATAATACATTACAGTAGTAAGCTACAATTAAGGTAGTCCTTCATTACAGTAGTAAGCTACAATTAAGGTAGTCCTTCATTACTGTAGTAAGCTACAAGGTAGTCCTACATTACAGTAGTGAGCTACAAAGTAGTCCTACATAATACATTACAGTAGTAAGCTACAAGATAGTCCTATATTACAGAACAAGGTGATCATTTAAACACGTATTTTTAAAAGGTTGGACAGATTGAGCTTTGCATAAGGCTTTCGACAGCCAACATCAGTTCTGTTGGTGCATTGGGGTCAGATCGACTCCAGCATTCGATCCCCATTAATGCTCACCTCAGACGTTTAATGATTACGCTTTGCTTGTCACGTAATATTGAAAGGAAACACTTTTGAAACATGCAATTTTTTAAACTGTTCAGTAATGTACCGCTGCATCAAGATTATTTAGCAAGATTTGATTATAGCATCAATTGTGATTTCCCCCTAACTATACAGGTGATTTCCCCTTATCCTACAAAGGTGATTCGTTTTTTTAAATCCAAAACGATATCAAAAAAGCAGAATGATTGCAAAAATGCAAATGTTGAGACTTGCAACTGATATAAACCTACTACAGGGCTAGTTGCCATTTTATTTTTATGCACCATACATTAGAGGGTTGAAATTGATTGATTCTTAAGAAGTACATTCATTTTTTTTTTTTACTTGAAGCAAGTGTTCATCGGCGGCAGTTATACAAAATCAGGTGGCTGGATCCTTCTGCTAATTTATATGTAATAGGCCAGCTCGTGACAGTATTCTCTCACGGCTATTCCTTGCATCTGCTGTTGTAAAACACATTAATAATCTGGGCAGAGGCACACAGTGAGTCTGTTGTGTGTGTGTGTATATATATATATATATATAAATATATATATATATATATATATATATATATATATATATATATATATATATATATATATATATATATATATATATATATAGAAAGAAAGAAAGCAAATCAAGGTCTTATTGGTTCTTTGTAAAGCTCATTGTCAGGGTCAGGTTATGCCAATGGTGTGAGTCGCCTGTGTGCTACTGAAGAGCACTCAACTCAGCAGGGATTTTATCATAAAATCTCCAGAATTCAATGCGAAGATTGTCCTTGCGTACATTATTTCATCAAAGTTGACATGTACTGTGCTGTAGTACTCTCTTCAACAGAGTCCTCTGATGTGGTCACGTTACAGATTTAATTCCTCTCGGGTTTTAATCTCTGTAGCTTCATAAGTTATTTTTTATCACTTAATATCAGCTTGAAGCTTTAGTATAAGAACAAATGTAACCTGATAAAACAAAGACCAAAATCAATTATGCTCTTTTTTCCTTTAGCTGCAGAAATAATTTTACTTTAACTAGATTTTTTTTAAAAAATATAATTCGTTGAGATTAATTCCAAGGTGTTTACATTATCGCTACAAGTATAAGACCATGCAGTACCTATTTCTGTTTTATCTGCATTTGTTTAGTTCTTTATTCTTCAATACGAGGCATGTCTTTATTATGATGTCCAGAATGAGTTGAGAATTAATGCAATCATAACTTTATATTCAAATGAAGCATTTTATTTTTTTTTTCAGACCGTGAGCGGAGGTAATACAGTGACGTCAAAATGTTTATCCGACCCCTCCATTTTCTCATTCCGGTCCATCAGCAGCGTCCGTTACGGTCCACTGACGCCAGTGGAACAACCGCCATGTGCTCACTAGTGATGACGTCACGGCATTTTAAAAATGTCTACAAAGAATGTCTCAGAGATGACCCAAGAGCCTGTGGGTGATTTTGCTTTCAAAAGCAGTGGTTGCAAAAACAGTGCGTGTTAAAGTATTGTGTTAAGAACTTGCTATTATTTTCTCAGGCAAAACAACTGATTTTCTCAGGACAAGATGACAAGAACAACGCCGATGGGGACAAAGGAACTTGGTATGAACGTGTTTGGGGGTGAGAGTGAAAAGTGCGCGTTTCTGCTGCACGGAAAATTGAGAAGTTGTGTTCAACACTGGTAGTGTAATACTAGTATGTTTTGTGGGGTTTTCTTTTTAAAAGTGACGAGAAAATGGCAAATCATTATTAGGGTATACACTCTTTGTATATTTCATGAACTAACTTGCCATATACCATTTATTTTCATATTCTTTATACTTGACATGGATATGTACATTTTACGCACAGATTTTTTTTTTTTTTGTAATTTCTACATAGACGAATGTGTGTAGATATGAGTAGTCCTCCCCACATTTTCTACCTCCGACGTTAGAGATTAGGCGATGTCTTTCCAATGTTGTATAATCACTGAGGTCACATAAGTGACAAAAGTTCATACAACTTTTAGTTTTTTATTCTATATACGTCTGTTGATATTTTTTCTGTATGCTTAATTGTGATGATATGGTGTTATGTGGTGTTAAAACAACCAATTTTCTTTATAGTAATGTACATGTATTAGTATCTGAAATTTTTACATACTTTTCACCGTGTACATTACCAGCAACGGGATTATTACTCATGATCATTGTTACCAAAACGAAATACATTGTAAACATGGTAGGAAATGAGCATGTACACAAGACCATCTGTATTGGACTATTGTGCAATATAAGCCTTTATCAATCAGTAATTGTTTTGATGCTGAGTAATTTGAGGATCGCGGGTCGATCCTTTATTCCATAAATGCATCTCAATTCTTGTGAAATGACATCCAGAACCCCGTTATGAGACGCACAAAATACGGATGTCTACCAGTTTTTTTTTTTTTTTTTTTTTTTGTTTTTTTTTTGTTTGTTTGTTTAGAAATCTTTGTAAAAATGTGTTTTACAGAATTTTTGATGTTGTAAATCCGCATATAGGTAAGTCGATGGGTCTCTATATTTATGATCCGACGCAGCTCTTCGCCCGCAGCAGGAAAAGAACGAAATCTGACATCGTATATAACGCTAATTACGCCAATTATTTACGTCTCCCTAGTGTATTTTATTATTCTTTATCAACTAGACTAAAGTAGAAAATGTGATCAAACGACACCCGGCTACCTGTTTAAATCATTTTTTCATTTCTTTACATATCAAAATATGGTAGAGCCGACGACACGTTTACACGCCATTAAAAACAAGTGGATAATTCCTGAACCGGTAATCGATACCAATTTCGTGGGTAATATACATTGATTAAAGTCAATCAAATACATATGTGGCACGCTTTGAAAAATCTGATATCAAAAAAATTCTACCCTCAAACTGTGTTGCTTTCAAAACACAAGTTGATGTAAAGGATTTGATCGTAACACCTTAACGCTGCAAATTACGTACCACGCAATTCTGTTAGCCTTGACCTTGCAATGCGAGTATATTAATTAATTTCTTGAATCAAAAGGATTGAAAGTCGTTTTTTAGTCCCACACACATTATGTGTAATCATGTGGCTTTGCAAAATGCTGAACAGAAAAATATTTTTGTAAGTCTATTTTCCTCTATTTAAGTCTATTTCCTCTATTTACCATAGACAGTTACTGTAGACAGTTTCGTTTGATACTAAATTTAAGAATTGTCAGTTACATGTGTGTTACCCTTGGATGACGTATACTGTTATACTGTTATACATGCAGATACATTTGTTCATAGTATGTAACTTTAAGGAACAAGCAATGCAGGTGAATGAATATATAATAAAATATAAAAACTGTAAGTCTTACAGAGAATTGCTTTTAATTCTTTTCAATTGATTTGTTAGATGAAGAGAAAGCGTGATTTTTTTTTTTTTTTTTTTTTTTTTTTTTTTGTAAAAGGAACATGAAATGAAATATGGAGATAACGAACAGTAATGAAGCTCAAAAGTCAATTGAAACAACACAAATCGGGAACAGAGCAAACACCGACCTCTAAAAGCATCAGGGGTTGCCATGGAGAAATACGCATCCCCTGTCGACCGGTCACAACTGCCGTGTGCTCCTTGTCAAGATCGGGCAAACGGAAAAATCCGGAGACAATTCAGTGTGTAAATAATGGCCTAACAATAAGTATGAAAAACGTAGTCAGTATTCGACTTAATGATAGATTGTATTTCCTGACAAGGTCATTGTATGGACCATAGAACTTGAAAAATGTTGATTTCATACGAAACTGTTGAAATCTTTGTTTCATCAACTTGATTGTCAATAGCTTGCCTCGTTTTAGAAATTGTTCAGACTTAGAGCATGCTCTTGTGTATCGAATCAACTGGGAGACAAACTCCATATGCAGATGATAAGGGTATATTGCTACAAATATGAGGAAAGTTAAAGTAATCACGCTTATCATAATTTTTGTTGTAAGGTTACTATTAACCGTAAACGTCTTTTTAGGTCACCTGAGTCACTCAGGTGACTTTTTGTCTGTCGTCGGCCGTCGTGCGTTATCATTTGAACATTTTCAGCTTCTCTGAAGCCACTGAACCAATTTCAACCAATTTTGGCATATAGCATCTATGGTTCAAGGGGAGCAAAAATTGTGAATTTCATGGTCTTTGGGGCCTGAGGGGTGGGGCTAAAACCACCAAAATTAATGCAATCTTTAAAAATCTTCCTCTTAACTCCTGGACATCAAGTAGTCAACTGTTGGCTGGATTGTAATAAGCATTGAGCCCTCTACCAAAATTTTGAATTTCATGGCCCCAGGATCAGGGGTTCTGGTGCTAGGATGGAGCTATATAGATCATGTAGTGAAAGTGCATTATTTCATTGAAAATCTTCTCTGCTCCTGGGTATTAAACAAACTAACTAAGTACATAGTTAGGTTGAACAAGGCTGCCTCTTCCAAAATTGTGAATTTCATGGCCCCTGGATCAGGGTTTCTGGTATTAGGGCGGGTTACTATGGATTATATAGTGAAAATGCATTAATTCTTTGAAAATCTTCTTCTCTGCTCTTGGGTATTGAACAAACTAACAAAGTACATAGTTATGATGAGCAAGAGTGCCTCTTCCAAAATTGTGAATTTCATGGCCTGTTGGTCAGGGGTTCCGGTGTTAAGGTGGGGCTCTATTGATTAATAGTGATAATATATTAATTCCTTGAAAATCGTCTTCTCTGCTCATGGGTATTGACTAAACTAAGTACAAAGTAATGATGAGCATGGCTGCCTCTTCAAAAATTGTGAATTTTATGGCCCCTGGGTCAGGGGTTCTGGTGTTAGGGCAGTGCTCTTTTGATAATATGGTAAAAATGCATTAATTCTTTGAAAATCTTCTTCTCTGCACCTGGGTATTTAATAAACTAAGTACATTGTTATGATGAGCAAGAGTCTTCAACAATAGTGAATTTCAGTTCCCCTGGATCAGGGGTTCCTGTGTTAGGGCGGGGCTCTATTGATTATATAGTGAAATTACATTAATACTTTGAAAATCTTCTCCTCTAGGTATAAATAAACTAATTTAAAGTACATAGTTATGATGGGCAAGGCTGCCTCCTCAGAAATAGTCATTTTCATGTTCCCTGGTTCAGGGGTTCTGGTGTTAGGGCAAGGCACTATTGATTAGTGAAAATACATTAATTCTTTGAAAATCTTCTTCTCTGCTCCTGGGTATTGAACAAACTAACTAAGTACATAGTTATGATGAGCAAGGCTGCATCCTCAGAAATTGTAAATTTCATGGCCCCAGGGTGGGGGGTTCTGGAGAAGGGGGGCTTTTTCTTTCAAATATTTTTTTCTACTCCTAGTTATAAAGCAAAGAAACAAGTGTATAGTTATTTGGGTGCTTACTCCAGAATTGTGAGTTTCATGGCCGCTGGGTCAGATATTCTGGTGCAAGGGTGGGGCTTTATTAATGATATAGTGAAAATGCTTTAATTCTTTGAAAATCTTCTTCTCTGCTCCTGGGTATTAAACAAACAAACTAAGTATATAGTTACTTCTCCTGGGTATTGAGGAGATAAACAAAGTGCATAGTTATGATGAGAAAGGGTGCGTCTTACAAAACTTTAAATTTGTGGTCCCAGGGGTTCTGGTGTTTCTGTGGGGGGTGTCTATTGATAATATAGCGAAAATGTTTGAATTCTTTGAAAATCTTCCAAAGTTATGCATGGTTATTGCATAGTTATGATGATGAGGGTACCTCTTCCAAATTTGTAAATTTCATGACCCTGGATGATGGGTTCTGGGGCCCGTTTCTCAAAAAGGCCTACAACCAGGCGTAAGCTTAGTCCGGACTTAATCAGAGACTAAACCCGGAACTCGGACTAAGTTGCGTTTTACAAAAAGGCAGAAATTTAGGTCGAGACTAAACCTTAGCTTAAATGAGTAGGCGTAAGTTCTTAGTCTGTTCACAACTTTAAAAAGTGGTAAGTGTTTTGCTGAAAAAGAATTTTAAATTTTAGTTTAAATCTACGCCTACTCATGAGTAGGCATAAGTTCTTAGTCTGTACACAACTTGAAAAAGTGGCAAGTGTTTTGATCATAAAGAATTAGAAAAATAATTATTTCATATTTATACAATAATACCTATTCATATACAAAATATGATTTGCGAAAAATCGTGATAGGTAAATAGCATGGGCGAAGCTTCCATTGTGGCAATGAGGCAACTGCCTCAATAGAATTTTTACCCCTTCCAAGAATTAATAATACATTGCAGAAAATATTTAATTTGTTTTTTAAAACTAAAAAAAAAAAAAAAAAAAAAAAAAACAGACTTCAGACAGTTTCTGTTCACAATATACTTCCCAGTTTTGATGGATCCAAACGACGCCGAATTCAATTAAAGTTTGAATTTAAAAAAATGAATTGAATTGAATGAGTTTATCTTCGAATGTGTTAGAAGTTTGAAGAAACATTTTTTATTTACTCTATTAAATACTTTTGAAATATGTAGTATCATATGCCTGCTTAAGTCTTCAATAATGAAACCGGTAAAATTAAGAAATTTCTGTTCAGGACTAGTATGATCTTTACATTCTATAACCTCCAAATTCGTTTCCGTGTGTGTGTGTGTGGGGGGGGGGGGGGCTTCGACCCCTCAACCTCCACCAGGGCTCTACTCTGGACCTGCTTAGGGCATGACGCAGCCCACAGACCCACCCACCCCACCACCGCAATCGTTCTGCCTCACTAGAATTTAAAGTCCATTGAAAGGTAATGAAAAAAAGCGACGATGCAAACTTTTTTTAAAAGGTGGGATGATTGAACTAAAGATACATGTATGTAACTAAGAATTTTAAATTGGTTGAGAAATTAAGAAGTGCCAGATTTAAAAAAAAATAATAAAAAAAAAAAAATAGGCACGCGTAGTATGGGGTAGGATGCTGCAACCCTCCCTCTTTTTCAGGTAATAGTGTTTTATGTAATAAATTAAGTTGTAATTTAGGTTGACCTCGCACTTTTAGTATATTTTTTTCTTACACTGTCAAAGTTTGCTGAATATTTCAAACACTTCTTTTTGGTTACTCAATTACCTACCCCCAATCCTCGCACACCCACCCTTTAAAATCTATGCTGGGTCCCTGATAATTTTTTTTTTTGGTTGGTTTTTGAAATGGATAATTTTTTTGATAAAACTCCTCAAACAATAAACGTTTAATATATTTTCGATAATGAGAAATATTCGGTATTTATGCTATCAACTAAGTTAATGCAGTTTTCCCCATTTTAATTAAATATAAATATTAAAGAACAGAAAAATGTGAATTTGTAAAATGTTTTAGTAATTAAAATATCTTGTCCAGAATATTGTTTTTCTATTTCAAAGGAGTAACTGTCAGGTCGTAAGATGTGCATATGGGTTTTTTAATAGCACTTGTTTTAGATTACTTTCGATGTATCGTACTGTTCTCAGACGAATTTATTTTGAAAGTGTCTTTTTTATCCATTTCTGAAAAGATTAATACTTTATATTACATGTACATTTAAAAAAAAAAGAATGTGGTCAATAAAGTGTTTAAAAAATGTCTTTATTGTAAATAAGAAACAGAGTTCCAAATTTGCTGTTAATTAATGCATTATACTCATAAAACATGTCAAGAAGAAGAAATTTTGCTTATTAAAAATATTTATGAATGTGAAAATCATGATTTGTTAATATCTTATAATCTAGATTAAAATCTTCAAGAAACATTCTGCATATTTAAATATATATATGTATATGAAAAAAATTATATGACCATATTCTAAATAGAAATTAAAATGGAATTGCTAGATCTAAGAACAAATGGTGATGTTGAAAATTGTACCTTTCCCGATCTAAATAAATTTGATCCCGACTGGAAATATATCAAATGGAAATATTTCAAAAAATTCACAAAAGTACTAGATTGTCTGCCTGTAATATGGATTACAACGAAATTGATTCAGAACTACATGCAATTCAGCTTTTGCAAACCTTTATTAAGAATGCGTGTGCTAATGGAAATAACGTATGAAGTTTAAGATCTGTATTAACAAAATTAAGGATCAGTGCCCATCCATTGTATATTGAAACGGGTAGATACTGTGAACCCCTATTCCTAGAGAAAAACGTCTAGTTCAAGTAAATTATTTATTGAAGATGAAAAACATTTTGTTCTATACTGTTCAAAGTATGACCAATATAGATGCAATTATACTGATTTAATATATGATTGAATAATTCCCATCTCTCTGATTGGCTGAGATCCAACAATGTTAGAAAAATACTACGTTATATTGACCTGCATGTGACCTTCCAGGTCAACATAAGGA